AACGACCGCAAGTCGTAAACTGACGGGCGAAGTTGTTGGAAAAATAGATGCGTATAATGAAATGTACCACGAGGGAAATCAGACGTCCTTATTAACTTGAAAAGTAAACTGTAGTCATCGGAAACGATTATTTTTGATGTTCATTTTAGGCTGTGTATTAATAATTTTGTTACCATATTATGTTCATTTAATCAAAAAAGAATTATTACCCGACTTATTGTTGGTTTCCGAGATCATAATCTTCGTTTAAAACATTGTTATCTCGTTTTTCAACAGTGGTAGAGCCCGCTTTAACATCGTCGCACGAATCGGCCCGGCTCGCCCGGTGAAATACCACGACCACTCAGAAGACAGGCGTGAAGTGGAAGCAATTCCGGGTTTCGTCTGATGAGTGTGCGTCCCGGAGGTCTAATTTAGTCCTCTTTCCCTTCCCACCCTTTTTCTTATAAGGAAAGGATGGGAACTTTCCGGATGAGAGGATGCATGGAAAGGGAAGATATTTTCTTTCTGTGCATCCTCTCCTCCGTCGATTAAAGGTAGGCGACGCATATGCAATTGCTTATATCTATGGGCAACGGTCACTTCGCTATTTCAGCGATTTCAGGTGGCCGATATAAAAAAAAATACATTTTTTTATACAGGGATATTGATCTCCAAAACCATCGATGACTCAGGAGTATTTTTTTGTCGCATGCATTGTATGTTTTGTTTATAACTTAACATAAATGAGAAGTCAACTGAAAACCAGCGCAGGGACGGTCTAGGCTATCTCTGCATTCGCCGAGCTAGCTCCTTTTGCTATACTTTTGTTTAATTTTTTGGTACAAAACTATGCTGTGTGTTTTCTCTTATATCTATGTAAAAATGTATTTCATTTCAATGTGTGTTTTACGTAAGAGGGGTTGTAATTTCCGACAAATTGTATGGTGATTTTATATTTACATGTAAATATAGGTATGTCCTTTCGATTGTGTTGAGTTTTTTCTATCACTGCAATATTTTTTAAATATGGAAAGAAACAACGCAAAATTTAATAACGCCTATGGTCGAATTCCCCTTTATCCCTTTGGCTCATAAAAATGATATCTCCGGAGAGGTTTTTTGTTCGGGAAAGTGACAAAATACAATAGTGTTCCAACGAACAGAAGGGATTGAATAGATTTATCGAGTTGTTCGGAACCAAGGTGCTTGTTATAACGGACATATTTTCCGCTTCGGGTAACATCGCGGAGATTTCCAAAGAAAGATTGTTAGTTGAACGTTGGGGACATTGTATGGAAAATCCATGTAGAATTTACGGCAAAAGTTTTTTTTAAAACTAATAAACTACTGCTTGAACACAAACTTAATGGTAAGTGGGAATGTGGTCGAAAGATGTTACGTAATAGCTTAGTAAATATTAATATTTCTCACAGAATATATTACTAATATTAAAAATGCGAATGTTTGGATGGATGTTTGTTTGAAGGTATTTCCAGAACAGCTTTCGGGTTTCGATAAAATTTGGCAGATATGTAGAACATAGTCTGGAAGAGCACATAGGCATTAAGTTTTTTTTAATTCTGCGCGGACGGAGTCGCGGGCCGCAGCTAGTTTTATATAAGGGGAAAATGAATTACATTTTTAATCACATTTTAAGAGTAAAATATTATTCCACGTTATATTGATTAATAGTTTAATAATACACCATTTTTACTCTTGTACTAGCTGTCGCCCGCGACTCCGTCCGCGCGGGATTAAAAATAGATGTTGGCCGATTCTCAGACCTATTCAATATGCTCACAAAATTTCATGAGAATCGGTCAAGCCGTTTCGGAGGAGTATGGGAACGAAAACTGTGACACGAGAATTTTATATATAAGACATATTGTTGTCTCTGTTTTCTTAAAGAAAATGAAAGCGATGACGATATTCATAAACATAACTGGAGTTAAATTGTACAAGGAAATAAACAAATGATATGCAGCAAGACACTAGAATATTTACACGGATCAAGTATAAACCTTAGGTGAGGAACAATATTTATTTGATGCAAACTCGACTATTCGATAGGCAAATTCAGTTACAACGCTTTGTATGCACGTCTGGTACCGCCCGGACGTCGGCTGCCTCACAATGGCCACCATTATATTGTACAAATTTAAATGTCACGCGCCCGATTCGGCTATCCCCTCGTTATGTCACGTGTTACCCAAAAACTTTTCCGGGATCAGTCCTAAATAAATTACTTCCACGAATACTGAAGGAACACTTGTTTATTTTAAAACACAAATAGCGACGTTTTAATTGTCGTGACATATTTCTAGCTGTTGATTTAAAAAAAAATTCTGCATATTTATAACTGGCTGTCACCCGCGACTCCATGAGCGCGGAATTAAAAAAAATAACTTTCTTAGTAGCCTATGTGTTCTTCCGAGCTATGTTCAACATCTATGCCAAATTTAATCGATATCCATGCAACCGTTCTGGAGATACAATCAAACAAACATCCATCCATCCAAACATTCGCATTTATAATATTAGTAAGATATAGTAAAATAAAACGAAATTGTTGGTTTTAATTAACACAAAATAACTAACTAATTAATTACAAACAAATATAGAAAGATATAGGTCGGAAAACTGAATTCTATTTTCAAAAAATAAGGAATTTCTTAAAGAAAATAAAAAGAAATTTTTTAAATTGATTCTGTTGACAAAGAAGAATACTTTCATTTCTTTTGACTTAGTAGAGCTATCTCGACACATTTGTACAGAGTAAAAATGAAACATGTGTGTACACGTACGTACGTACACGATACGTGTACATGTGTGTACACGTATCTTGGAATAAAGACACTATCTAAGATGATACTGGAATTTTAGCTGTCATGTAAGATTGTGTGTTCATTATTCACCTGGGGGACTAGACAAAATGCATTCGCTCCGAAACGATTCCATAACTTCAAAAATGTACAGAACTGACAATAACTTTCGATAAGTCGTGTGTTTTTCGCTCGTTAGTTCCATACATTTTTGTTGTTCGTTATGGAATCTTTTCGAAGCGAATGCACTTATTTTAACCCAACCGGTAGTCACTCACGACACAAAAACATCGAAAAAGTCATATTTAAACTCTCGTACACATCTTTTCGTTTTTCACAAAATTAAGTCATATCTTATTAGGTTCATAAACTCTTAAAATCTTTATATATATATATTCTTCTGTGAGTGTGTATGTCACTGAACTTCTCTCAAACGATTGGACCGATTTTGATGAAATTTTTTGTGTGTGTTCAAGAGTATCTGGGAATGATTTAGATTCACAATTTTGTCCGCTGGACAATGTCTTTTTAATTAATTTTTAATTTATTATTAGTTGTTGATTTTGGAATGTTTTACATTGGATCCGACAGACGACGCTACCATCGCAGTGTCAAATTTTAAATAGTATTCGAATTTTTATATTAAAGACGTGTAGACAGGACAACGTCTATCGGGTCCGCTAGTAAATATATAATGAAAGACAAAACATTTTTTATACTGTTTATTTGTATAAGTCAATTAATTCTTGAATTGTTCGAGTACAAAAAACGTAATTAAAATAACTAACAAACATATCCATTAATGTAGAATTCATCAAATTAAATAAATAACAGTAATTAGTAAAAATCTTAAAATTATATTCAATATTACGGTAATACTAGTTATTTTGTTACAAATCGACACAAACTATGCAAATTATGATGTCATTGTCTAAGCGTCGGTGGCTCAGTGGTCAAGCACTTGACTTGCAATCTGCAGGTCCTGGGTTCGAATCCCGTCATGTACCAATGTGTCTTTCGATTTCCGATTTACATATGTACATTTATCCAACGTTCTTACGGTAAAGGAAAACAACGTGACGCAACCTGCACATATCTAAGAAGACATTCAAAGATGTGTGTGAAGTCAACCAACCCGCACTTGGCCAGCGTGGTTGAGTATTACCTAATCACCCTTAGGGTAGGCTCCGAGCCCCTCGGTGAGGACGTATAGTGAGCTTATGGTGACAAAGTAAATTATTAACTAAGTTACTTATGATTTTTCAATAATATCCAAAACTTCTCACTTTACTTATGCCAACATATTTTATTAAATAATACATGAAAATATTATAATAGCAGTTTTAGATATTATTGCTTGGAATCCTTTAGCGCGAACGACGTGCTTTCGTTACAAAATTCGGTGTCAGAATGATTAGTGAGGGGACATAAACGTCGACATTTCAGTAAGGCTAGTGTTGCGCCAGTACACCGGAACAGTGTCGGATTTTCTTCCCAACAGTAGAAAACAATTAAAAATATCGCCCGTTCTTTATTATAGAATTACAAATCTTTACCGATTCCAAAAGCATATTTAAGTAGACAGAAAACATTTCTAGAATTATATGAAATACTAAGTAATACTAACGGATCTAAAAATAGAGTTTTAAAAGTGCATAAAGATAAAAACTATTTCTTAGTAAACCTAAACCTCTTTAACCCTTAATTCGACGAAATTTTTTATAGCAAAAAAAAATGATTTTTTTAGTAAAGTCTTACTTACGTAATTTTCTCTAAAATAGTTCAGTAGATATTTTATTAGTTTCGTTCGACACACTGGACACCATCGAATTAAGGGTTACATAGAAATGCGTTAAAGTAAATCATCTACCAACTTCATTGTGGTCTAAGCTCTCATTTTATTTCGAGATTCAGATTAAATTAATATGAACAATAATATTTCTTATGGCCTCAAAAGATAACTACACAATATTATTAAGTATTTTCACCTATTGTGTAAATCTAAAACTAATTAATATAAAATATTTAACTGTAAACTTAAGTACATTAATTAAAATTTAATAATAGAAAACTCAAACTGAATTATATTAAAGCTAATTAAATACGACACTCAAAAGTATAATATAATATTTCGTACTGCAAAATTAAATGTGACATAACAAGGAATACAATATAATATTTTATATCGCGACTACTTCAAAGAGCTGTGAATTCAGTTGAAAAGGATGACAAAGAAGTTTTTAAATTCCTTTCCATTGTACGACTAGTTGCATTATTTTCTGAAAAAGATAAAGTTGAACAACTGGGTGTTCTAAATTTCTTACTGGTATTATCATTTGATGATTCGAAAAAACATGGTCTACAATGAGACACGTTTCTTTCGTTACATAAAAAATCTGAATTCCCTTCACTTTTATCAGTTAATTGCACTGATATAAATATATTAGCGAAAGAACTTGGTAAAGTAAACTCTATCGGCGGTGAAGGAAATTGCCCAGAAGTTTCTAAAGTAATTTGAACAGTATCCAAACAACGCTGAGTGTCCGTACTATCGATAGACGTTGACCTGTCTAACATTTCAAAGCCATAAGATGAACTTAAATCAACACTTTGTCTACCACAACTGGCTGCTAAAGAAGAATCGAGTAATTTCTTTTCTTGGTCTGTAAAACTTTTACTTGGACTCAAACTTCGGCGTCTCGTTTTCCAACAAATACAAGTAGCTATAAAACCTATTAGAGTCATACTTAACATTGAAACAATAAATAAAATTAATTTAGGAAATTCTGGAGCAGAACGTGCGGTTGCAGTTCGTGGTGTTGATAAAAATAAAGTGAAATTAGCACTTGCCTCACCGACAAAACTATTTGCATGACATATCCATTCTCCTGAAAACTTATCCGTTATATTAGAAATACTTATATTCATCCATTGGGAACTTTTATTTATCATATCAGTATTGAATTCATTGTCTATTACGTCATATTTGTAAACTTTGATTTCAATTTCGTCTGTTGTTAAGTTTTGAATTTCCTTCTTACCCAAATACCAGGATACATTTGGCTTTGGATCTCCAGAAGCAAAGCATCCGAATGATATATCAGCTCCAACTTCTGCTCTTAAGACGGTGGGATTAGAAGTAGCTTGCGGAGGGCAAACAAATTCGTTTTCTTTAATATATTGCCATGATATGTTAGCAAAATTCTTTGGTCCAGCACATAATACTTCTTCATTTCCCAGATTAGCGTTGAGAAACCATTCATGGAAATTCCTTAATCTGCAATCACAGTACCAGGGATTGTCTGACAATGTTAAAGTTTTCAAAAATGGCAAGTTAAAGGTATTCGGGTGTACATATGATAGTAAATTCTGATGTGCATGAATCGTTTCGAGTACTCTAAGATTTGAAAATGCAAGGGGATGAATTTTATGTAGTTGGCATTTAGATATTTCTAATTTCTTCAAATGTCGTAGAATCGGAAATTGTTCAGAATAGAATTCTTTAAGTGGATTATCGTGAAGTATTAAATGTCTCAAGCGATCAATTCCATCGAATATTTCTGGTGACAAATGATGAAGTTCATTATGAGAGAGGTCCAATTCTATTAAAATTATTAATTCTCTAAACGCGTTGTTATGAATTCTTCTTAATTTAGTATCACTTAAATTCAATCGTTGTAGATTTAGCAAATCTATTCCAGTAAATGTGTCCCTGTTTAGTTCTCTCAGTGCATTGTCGTGTAAGTCCAAAACTTGTATATCTGGGGACAGTCTTGGTATATTTGTAAGCCCTGCTGAAGAACAGGTGGCAGTCTTCTTTCCCGATGACCATTTGCAGTGACATTTTTCAATGTGACCACAATTAAGCCAATCACATTCTGATTGATTCAGAAATATTACGATTAACCAAAGCGGTTTGTAAAGATCTTGAATTTTCATTTCATATCAGCTTCAAGATTATTTATCTGAAACAAAAAAATATTACAAAAAACTATTACAGTGAACATAATATTTTTTTAAAAAACGAAAAATTGTAAAATACCAAGATTTGGTTTACGAAGTTACCGCCATGTGGCGTATGAAATCGACTACCATTATTCCGATAGTCGTATCGGTGAATGGACTGATAGCAAAGAGCTTGGACCAACATCTCAAGAAGCTCTCGCTAAACAGTTGGATTAAGGGCCCGATACAAAAGGCAGTTATCCTAGAAACCGCACGCATCGTGAGAAGGTTCCTTTCTGCAGCCCTGACCACTGGTTGTTTCAGTCATGGGATTCCGCAGCCGGTGGTGTTCTATTTTTAATATAATATGTTTTGTATATTTTTTGGATATGAAATGTACTATATTAAAAATATGATAAAGAAATGAATATTTAATTTTAAACTCATGCCTTAAAATAAATTTTGGATATCTCCATAATGTGATTGAAACATAACAGTTTTCAAATAAAATGAATTCGTGAATTTCTTGTACTATATCGTTGTAAGAAATAATAGGAACAGTAAGGATTAATTAGGTTATAAACATACCAGAAGAATTCTAGAAAAATAGATTCCTATTAACACAAAACTACTTTGCTTGGTGAATTACTTTTATAGATTGTGGGACATAACTTTATCGGTGCAAAATTTCACTTCTGCAAACGAGGTTGTCAACATCGTAAAGACTCTTGGCCTATATTTTGGTCATTAACATTAAGGGGCCATCTGGCTCCTACACTATCTTACAAAGTAAAATATTCGAAGAGTTTCTATTCATAATCTGCTAGATTACGTAGTTTAATATTTTGATAATTATACGACTAAATTATGTGTACATTTTTGTTACCAAAGTATTTTATGTAACGAAATATCCCATAATGATATTATAAAGCAGAAGTTTGTTTGTTTAAATGCGCTTATCTCAGGAACTACTAATCCGATTTGAAAAATTTCTTTTTTTTGTTGGATAGTCCATTTATTGGGGAAAGCTTTAGTTGTATAACACGCTGCGACCAATACTTTTTAGTTAATTCCGCGCGGACGGAGTCGCAAGCGACAGCTAGTCTTAAATATGGTATTTAAGACATCAAATATATTTTTGAAATTGAAATCTTACGAATATTATAAATACGAAAGTGTACATGATGGATGTTTATGTGAAGGTATCTCCAGAACGGCTCAACAAATCTCGATGTAATTTGGCACAGATGTAGAACATAGTCTGCAAAAATACATAGGCTAATTTTGCGCGGACGGAGTTACGGGCGTAAGCTAGTTAAATCATACGAAACAGCCATTGATTTTAACTTAATAATATATTTGAACTCATTTTGGAAATAACATCAAAAGCTACATAAAAGGTAAAGTGAATTAACTACAAACTAAAGATACAAAAGAATTTAAAAAATAATTTCTGGAGCACTAGTAATTATAACAAAACAAGAATGCTATTGAATCTATTTAACCATTCTTTGTGTATGCCTTGGATCTCAATAAGCTTGATATATGCGTTGACAAACACAGATCCATGATTCCATAACTCTATTGTGGTAGTCACATAATGCGTCATAAAGGTCAGCCCGCACTGGTTTACGACATGACCGGGACAACAGACGTTCTCGTACAATATGAGACATATTAATGGCTTTCAATTATTCAACGATATGAATGAATTAAATTATTGTACATCATTGACTTAAATACGAATCAAAATAAAGAAATATATATTTTCGGTTCTGATGTTAAGACCAAATGTCAGAATTTATATGCCTTAAGAAGATAACCAGATAAGTCGGGTAGATCCCGCTTTAACATCTTCGCACGAATTGGCCAGGTTCGCCCGGTGAAATACCACGACCACACGGAAGACAGGCGTGAAGTGGAAGAAATTCCGCGTTTCGTCTGATGAGTGTGCCGTCCCGGAGGCCTAATTTAGTCCTCATTCCCTTCCCACCCTTTTCCTTTAAGGAAAGGATGGGAAGTGGAGGTGGACTTTCCGGATGGGTGGATGCATAGAAGGGGAAAATATTTTCTTTCTGTGCATCCTCTCCTCCGTCGATTAAAGATAGACAACGCATATGCAATTGCGTATGTCTATGGGCAACGGTCACTTCGCTATTTCAGCGATATCAGTTGGCCGCTCTCTCGTTTGCCGCCTTCTGATATAAAAAAAAATTGTGATATTTTAGTTTTTAAGTCAACAACTTCAATTGCCAATACTGTTTGTTACTGATCTTGTCTGTACTTGTTAAAAAAAACTGGGAACTTTTTGTGAATGATGACGTACACACAAACCTATTAATAAAATCTGTTAAAATACCTAGTACACATTTCTTCAAGTTCACTGAGCTGACGGCCAACCTCCATTAAATGGAGAGGCACCTTGAGAGAGAGAGAGAGACACATTTCTTCCAAAATTGTTTTAATATTTACTAATTCCACAATATCTTCAAACTTGTCACAAAGTAAGATATAATTCCCAAAGCACAAAGCAAGCGGTTAGGAATGGCCGTACATTTATCTTCGTCTATTGGCCGGCGTGGGCGACTTGCCTAGCCTGGGGCTTACGGCCAACCGTCTCCGGAATTATAAAGGACACCCCGATAGTTTGTAATATAACGTCTCCGAGCTCACAGGGAGTATTATAAAAAGATTACGACAATTGTTTTTTTTTTTTATTGACGTCGATTTTTCTGAACGTTCAGATTAAAGAATCTATTTTGTTTTAACGTTATTCGTTTGTTTTGTTTTAATTAAGTGAAAGGCAATATCTAGTCTTACTAATATTACAAATGCGAATGTTTAGACGGATGGATTGTTTGGAGGTATCTCCACAACGGCTGAACAAATCTCGATCAAATTTGGTATAGTTGCAGAACATAGACTGGAAAAACACACAGGCTAGGCAGTTTTTTTTTAATTCCGCGCGAACGGAGTCTCACGCGACAGCTATAAGGAACCAATTCTTAGCTGACCAATCACACGTGACAGCTATAAGGAACCAATAATTAGCTGACCAATTTAAAGCAAAAGAAATGTTACTAAAACATTTTTGATAAAATAAAATAGATCGAGTTCGATTGTCATCAGAATTTCTTTTTCATTAAAAGGAATAGTAAAATATTGATGGCACTCGATGTCAGCAGTTTCGGGATTTGGCTTAAAAGCTTAAACAGAATTCGTTTTAGCATTTACGTTACCCTGCTTTCTGAAACTCAGATTTTAACTTTTTAATGGAGTTTGTAGTTGATTCCCTATAATACTGTATTTTATGAGTATTCGCTTTTAACAGAAGCAATCTTCCAGCTTCTATTGTAAGGATTTTCCTCTATTGAAGCGTCAATGGCCTAATAAAAAGAACAAACGCGGTCGTGGGTTTGATTTCTCGCATTCGACTATTTTTGTAATTTTCACGAAGGAAAAACACGAGCGGTGATTTGGGAAAATTTGGAAAAGAATGAAAATTTAAAAATATAATAAATATAAAGGCGACAAGAAACAATTAGCACACACAAGAATTCATTTATATTTAAAACTAAAACATTTTAGAATAACAAAAAAGAATAAAAAACATTTAACGTTCTAAATTTAAAAATACAAAATTATGAATAAAAAAAGCCTCTAAAAAGGTCCGTTTGTATATATATTCATAGAAGATAATCAAGTTTAAGGGGTAATTCCATTAAAACATTCGCAAAGAAACATTTATAATAGTTTGCATTCAACAATAGTGCATCCTCGGAACACAAGAGGACGTTGGAACTGCACTTTTCATGGCCAATTAACAAGCTAAGTATGGAAGTTTAGCTTAGCTTGGACAACTTAATAGTCTCACTTGCACCATTGACTTTAACTTTGGAGTATTTAATCTTCTTTACCAGTTAACTTAGTTACGACAATGCTAATGGGTGTAGAACTTCGTATCTTACAAGATAGTAAGTGATGATATATACAATTATAATTGTGTGTATAATGTCAGTGATATATAGATTTGTTTGTTTAATTGTGATAGCAATTGCTCGCGGCTTCATCTGCGCGGAATTAAAAAAAATCTAGTAGAAAATTCAGCCTATGTTACCCTAGTATAGTGTAAGTTTCCAACACTGAAAGAATTTCTCAAATCGACTCAGTAGTTTCGGAGCCAACATTCCATGCAAACAAACAAACAATCTAATCTTTCCTCTTTATCATTTCATGAATTAAATAAGATTACTACAGCAGTTTGTCCAAAAATTTTGTTGATTAAACATAGCTAGAAGCAATTACCGACTACTATATTAAAGACTAGCTATCGCCCGCGATTCTATCAGCACGGAATTAAAAAAAAACTTAATAAAAAAAAACAGATGTGTTCCTTCAGGCTATGTTCTATATGTCTTTTAGCGAGGTTCATGCCACCGTTCTGGAGATACTTTGTAATAAACATCCATCCATCCGTCCATAAATAGATTCAAACAGTCGCATTTATAATATTAGTAAGATACTAGCGGACCCGACAGACGTTGTCCTGTCTACACGTCTTTAATTTGAATAAATTAATATGAAGTTAATATTTGATCAAAATTGTGAGTCTAAGCCATTCCCAGATCCCCTTGAACACACACAAAAAATTCATCAAAATCGGTCCAGTCGTTTGAGAGAAGTTCAGTGACATACACACTCACAGAAGAATTATATATATAAAAGAAAAAAATTAGTAAAATCAAATTTATATAATAGTTCATGTAAATACATATCTTATGAGTTATATTTATAATAAATAGATTTGTACAGTATTTTAGAGTTAATTACATAAAAACAACAATTATTTTACCCGATGTTAATTATGAATCAATTATAAAGTTGTTCAGGTGTATAATAAAGACATGTTATAAATTGAACAACAAAATTAACAACTCGCATTTGTGGAGTTACAGCACTAGTGATATATTGTAATTGCAACGATAGCAGTCTGT